GGTGATTCGCAAACGGCTTCACCAGTCGAGCTTTCGAGATTCTAGAACAAGTAATCAGCAAACTGCTTCAGACTGACTTGAGCTGCCTTCTTACTCTTTACCTCGATCCTAGCTATTGCTATCTGGTAATGACAAGTTAATTCCCAGAGGATATCGTAAGCAGCAGAACTAGCCTTCTTCATCCTCATGAGCTGACGATTGGTTGGAAAATATTCTTGGTAAGGAGTATTCCCCAGTGGAAATCCTGACACTTTCATCATTTCATGGAGCGGAAGCCCTAATTCCCCGTACTTAGTGAAGAATATATTGGTATCCGCATTATAAGATTCGAACAGAACGAGAAAGTGATCTACGCTTATAGGGAGACCATACATGCTAGCTCGGATTGGGATGTCTAATCCTAAGTTCGCTAATTCTTGACCCCAACGAGAGACCATACATGCTAGCTCGGATTGGGATGTCTAATCCTAAGTTCGCTAATTCTTGACCCCAACGATTAAGTACGAAGTTGGTCATCCTAGACCACCATTTATCTGAGAGCGAGTGGACCCATCCATAACATCTGAACTTCGGGAGGGGGAACTCTCTACCGATCCGACCAAGCCTATTCTTTACCGTGTTAGCCTTTATCATCAATTCATTCTGAGGCCCACTATCCGGTCCAAGTACCCCGGGATGAAGACCACGAATAGTATGCCGACCACTAGAGCCAGGAGCACTAATATCCTTACTAATGAACCCGCAATGGATGCGTTCATGGTCATCTGTCAAGTGCCACGACATCTTCCTCGAAACAGTTAAATTCCTTAATTGTAGAATCGAGTAGTGTCGAGGGAATGGAGGAAGGAACAGAAAATCCCCTTCATGCTCATTCAACCAAGCTTCGGGACCACAACAAAGGTTATCCGGATCTTCAATCGAATCCCCGAACAAATAATCAGGCTTCTTTAACGGCTTGGTGGAGTCTCGAATTGAGGTTAAAGGCGAGTCGGTCAACAGTTGGCGCAGTGTACGACGACTTCCTTCACGAACCAGTTCAGGAATATCATCGTCACAACCCTCATTGAACTGACGGGCTTCTCTGACCAGAAAATCACCGTTGAAAGAAGCATGAAGAATACCACTTTGGCCTGGGTCTTCTCTATCAGAAAAGGCCACAGAAGGAAAATGGACTGCAGACAAAGTTGGAAAACAATTGAATAAAAAAGGCTAAAAGAGCAAAACCCACTGCTCTAAGTAGCCGCGGCAGTGTCTACTGCGTGTATGCTACCGCGTTCGGCCGTGGCAGCACGTGCTACCGCGGTAACTGAGCAGCGGCCGTTGGCTTCGAAAAGCCACGAGTTCGATAAAAACTCGCATCTCGGCTGTGGTACATGTTTTGATTAAACAAGATATGTGTTTTATAGCGTCGATCCCCTCGAAGGAGGATGTCAACTCTTCTCGGATGCCTCTCAAAGGAGACAAACGAGGTTGTACGAGTAAAAGCATTAATTTTAAACAGAGAAAGAGTTGAAAAGGGTTACCCCCGAATGACGTAGCAGTGGCCTCGATCTCTTCTGACGCTTGGGCTACAGATTTGCCATTGGGAACACGAGCTCTTTTGGGAGACATACGGAAACAGCCTAAGAACAAGGAAAGTTAGGGTTTTTAGGTGAGATCTCAAGCAAAAAACCAAAATAGAACCCTAAAACACAACATATGGGTGCGGTTTTACCAGAGGTTGAACAAAACCAAGTTTTGATCGAAGGAAAGGCTCAGAACCAAGAAGAACCCAAAACCCTAGATCTTGTTCAAACAAAAATCGCCCAAATGTGAAGAGGTGAAGAAGGGAAAAGCCAGAGGATCTTTTTATAGGGTATTTGAGAAGATTTTGGACTCAAAACAGCGGGTAAAAATGACCTGAAAAGGCCCAACATCAGCCTTATAAACCCGACTGGTCAACACTATGCGCGGCAGTCGATGCTGGTGCGCTCAAGCACGACAGTCTATGCTGGCGTGCTCGAGCGCGACAGTTGATGCTGGCGCGTTAGCGCACCACAGTCAACTCTGACGCGCAAAAGCGTCGTGCATACACAATGATCCCTTGGGTATTTGAACACATACGTCTCCCATTGTATTTGGAATGCATACTTGAACACTCCGATGAGTATATGAGTATAAACTGCCTCTCCTTGAACCTCCCAATGGGTATATGAGGTTAAACTATTTCCCGGACACTCCGATGAGTATATGAGTATAAACTGCATCTCCTTGAACCTCCTAACGGGTATATAAGGTTAAACTATTTCCCGGACACTCCAATAAAGTATATGAGTATAAACTATTCCTTCGCCAGCTCTAATTTAAGACTTCAACAATGGTCAGGCGATAAACGCAGCACCGGAAGAATTTTAGCTATTCTACAAGGCACTGAGTAGACTAAAAGATGAAGAAGTCAGGAATTGAAGCTATTCATAGATTCTTCTACGTAATCTCCTCAACAAAGTATTGAAGAGATTGCAAGTAAGAATTATCTTATCCAAAGTGTCCCAGACTCCTCTCTAAAAGAACGAGTCTAAGATACTTTGGAGGGGGTATCTGTAGGTGTCAAAAAATGCTTACGGACGTCCAAATACTACTCAAGACAAAAAGAAGACGATAAACGCCATTATCTTAGTCAGAGGGGATCATCCAAAGGAAGCGAAACAACATAGAAAGAATAATGTACACATCAACGACAAAATACATCGACAGGCGACCCATGGTGACGCGCCTTAGGCGCGGCAGTCCATGGTGGCGCGCCTTAGGCACGACAGTCCATGGTGGCGCGCTTTAGGCGCGGCAGTCTATGGTGGTGCGCCTA